ATGAGCTCTTATCGTTAGCATTAGGCATTACGTATGCCCACAGGCCGAAATAAACATCTTACATCCTGTTTTCTCAAAGAGCCACAACAAAAGAAGGTATCTCAGTTAAAAGGAGTCTTTTAATAATCCAAGTCTAACCCAATACCCAAACCCAAGTCCAGACCTACTCATAAGACAGACTGGTTAAATATTGAATTATTTTTTGTAGCTAACTTGCTTATAGTGAGACGAATACTGTATCATTTGATAGTTTTTCCATTAATGAATCAAGTCTGTCTCTTTTACTGAATTACACTAAACTAAAGTGATTGCTTGGTGGATGCAATGCCTTTTCATTTCAGAAGTAACCAACGAATATAATGGTAATATAAGGAGAAAAGACGATGCGAGAACTTTTCTTTGCGCACTAATGTTCATTCGTAGAATACTAATCGTAGTTATGCATTTGTACAATTGCAACTTGGATGAATACACAAACTGTACCTTTCTCGGAGATACAGTGTTTATGTGAAAATGCAAAATAAAGCAGTAGAAATAGGAATTTTACAAAATAAATTCAAATGTTTTACTTTATCAGTCTACGTCTACATGCTTTTTGATCGGTAGTAGGTACATTGGCACTCTGAACTTTTCCTCAGTTGAAACTTTCCTTTCCCTTGCCACACTAAGAAATACCATTATAATATCCGTAGTATCCTTTCATTTCTATTTCTGTTTTATTTTTTTTTGTAATTATCAAATCTTTTTGTAGTTACCAAATAAAACTTATCTCATTTCTAGTTTTTTTCTTCTGTCCACCTTTTATTTTGTCATTTCTTTACTAATACGGTGAGTATCATCTAGTGATGGACCGTCGTGTAGTCGTTAAACATGAATATTAATAGATAGTGAAAGGAAAGAAAAGAATAAAAATTATGGTATCGCTATAGTCATTTATTGCTAGCATAGCATTTCGCTATATTCGAATATAGTGACCTGTTCTGTGTCTTACGTCTGAATTTAGAGCTCACGTAATTGATAACTATAACCCTTGACAATGTTGATACATTATTATTTCTAAACAAAAATATGGTTTAGACAAAGAAAAGCGACGAAATTTCACTTTTTGGTTAAGTACCAAAATATACCATACATAAATGTATTATATATACTTAGGTTAACTTGTTCACTTTTATCGGGAAAGATCAATTTCTCAACACTAAACTTAAACGCGATTATACTTATCGCTCGGAATGTTCATTTACAGTATATCGAGAATGACTCACTTACGTTAAGAAATTCGCGTAATATACGTAGCTTCTTCGTTTTGTACGACAAGAAAAATATTTTTCTCATCGTCACACGTTGTGTTTTCACTTTGGTTTAAGCTATTTTTTAATTCAAAGGTGAATATACCTAACAGCTCTTCTCCTAAAGCGCCGAAGCCTTACATAGTCGAAGTCCTTTACGTTTATCGTCATCTGTGACCTGGAGTCAGTTTTATAAAAAAACTTAAGTCCAAAAAGTTCTTTGTCTTTGTTGACTTAAATTTTTTTATAAAACGGACTCCGTACTCTACATGTATAGGTCACGACGGACGAAAGAAAAGATACTAGAAAAATGACGGCTCTTGCGTCTTACGGCCCAACACTTATATCGTCCGACCTGTATATTTATCATTGAATGAAAAAACTTATCGTCATACAGCGATTAGATAGCGCAGTTCGTGTGTTCAATCCTAGCTTCGTGCGAGAATTAAGTTTGTGTTTTGATAGTTTAAGTTTCAGAATGATATAATGGGAATTTATATTCTCGATTTCGTTCTGGTTCAAAACTAAAACTTAAATCAACAGACAGCGCCTCTGATTTTTATTTTCGCATGTTCCACGTTTATAATTATACGTTTGTGTATTTATGCCATATATTCAATAACGTCGTAATACCGAAGCTGGAGATTTATTTTCTTATAGATTTACAAGATACTATTTAGAGAATGTCATCTGAATCACAATCTGACTTAATTAGTATCGCAGTTACAACATCATCGAAGGGAGGCGATAGGACAGTCGCTGTAAAGAATATTCCGTTATCAATCACCGTGGGCGAATTAAAAACAAAACTTACTGTAGCAGAAACTTCACGTTTGGGCCGATTGCATGAGTTCGAAAATTGGGATAATCGACGTCCACTGTCCGATTATTTTGTTAAAGATCAAGAAAACCTAGGTTGTGTTTTACAGTGTAGTGTGGAAGATGGTCAAAGTTCATATGATGATTATGATCTATGGTTAGCAAAAAGTCAAAGCAAAATCAACGAATAAATAATGATGAATAAAAAAACCTTTGCCCAATACTGTTAAAGAGGGCAACTCTTTAGTTACTTCTGTTGACGACATATAATAGTTGCATTGTCGCAGGTGGAGGTTTTAGAACCGCCCACCATTGAAACATGAATTTTTTTCTAAAGACTAAATGAGTTCTAGATGTCTTTTTTATAAATAACTAGAAGCAGAAGACTAAGTTTCTAGAAGTATATAAACGGATTAACAGTTTAGTGCAATTTTCTATGCAAATAAATCAAAATAATATTGTTACAAACACTTTGGTCTTTTTCTGTCCTGTGAGATTGAATCTTGCTTATTTCAGCTAAAACTAACTAAACGTAACCGAAAATAGTCAAAAGATAGTACACAGTTTGAGAATATTTTTATGAATAAAAAAGAGAATTTCAACATATCATACACTATTGGATACGCCGAAAGTTGAAATATTTTTCGAGATGCACGCGAAAATTTTGCCATGCGCCTGACAGTTTCACGAAATCTGGCTCCCGTGTTACCTTTCCTGTGACTGTATTTTAGTGTTCGACTTCACAATATTTTCAATCACGGGTCATTTTCTATCCTAAAATTGTAAAATTATGGGTTGAAACTAGTTTCGAATACGATAGTCATAGCGACACTACTGATTGTTTCAAAAAAAAGTGGACATGGCGAGTTTTTAAAAGCGTTAGATAGGAAAGCAATAGAGTCCTGTGCAGTTCACTGATCGAAAGCCAAGATCTGACTGCATCATTCCATAATGGAAACCAAATCTGAAAATCTATCTTTAAAGCAGATTTCTAAGAGGATCTTTGAAAAACCAGACCATAACTCAAAAACAAGAAATACAAATATTTGAGCTTTTGTTTTAATCTCGTTTATTGATGTAAAAAAAAAGTAGAAAATCCAAAAGATACAAGCCACAAAAGCGGATCGAGGATCCATATACATGTGGTCACCGTAAAAGAAGAAACAAACCCTTAACTGTTATAGATTCGCTAACCCATACTAAATAGTATAAGAGGAAAAAAAAATGAGCGAAGAAGCGAGAAAAAGAAAAGAAATATTATAAATAAATAAGTATATAAGTAAGCATAAAAAATGTGAGTCGTGTTGTGTGTTGGTGCTGCAGATGTGTAGGTCGCGTGAATCAGACAGAAGTAGAGAATCTTCCTGTATCAGCAATATAGTTTGCAACTAACTCGACAATAACTCTAACTGTTACTTTGTTAAACAGTACTCGTACCAGAAGTGATTCAAGATCCAGTTTAACATCTGGAATCCTGTTAGAAAACTGCGTCATTAGGTTTTCTCTCTCCTTGTTGTAATTGGGACACTGAAAAAAGAAATGGTAAACAATCTCTTTTATTAGACAATTACATTCACAAGATGGATCATGCACGAGACCTTTATCGAATAAATCACTATTCAGTTGAGAAAATCCGACTCTGAGGCGACAGTAGTGAATATCAATATCTCTTCGACTGATTAAAGGTAATTTTGAATTTGATTTTGGTGGTATCAACCGATTTTTAAATTTATTTAAATTAAACGTCAGTTTTGTCTCAAGTGGAAGCTCATTGTACTTATTTGAGCTTTTTTCATAGGTAGGCAGCCCAGAGCGCCCCCTTCGAAGTGGCAGTCACGGCAGTTTCAGAACCTAGCAGAACCTACTTTAGATGAACTAATCCATTTTTAATATTTTGGCCAAAGTATTTATAACAATATTATTTTGATTTATTTGCATAGAAAATTGCACCAAACTATTAATCCGTTTATATACTTCTAGAAACTTAGTCGTCTGCCTCAAGTTATTTATAAAAAAAGACATTTAGAGCTCATTCAGTCTTTAGAAAAAAATTCATGTTTTTAACGGTGGGCGATTCTAAAACCTCCACCTGCGATAATGCAACTATTATATCTCGTCAACAGAAGTAACTAGAGAGTTGCCCTTTTTAACAGTAGTGGGCAAAGGTTAGACAAATCAAACAAAAATAATTAAAGGAAGTCTATTCAGTATAAGAAAAGTTATTGTAGTTTTACTTCCCGGATATCGACGGTACAATACCATCGCAAATCACTCATATTTCTGGCAATACATGTTTCCGAAATGTCAAACATTCAAATTCGGACAGAGCTTAAAATTTTATGTGTACTAATAAATTATCAGTATGTGATTGAAAGATCTCTTCTCAGTCAAATCATAAAATATAACAACCGACCAAATGTTCTTATATCGATGACACTAGAATGGAAAACATGAAATCGTCTTCCTACTTTAAGTTTTAAAACCTTTGTTTTAGCGCGATCATCCAACATGATTATAATGAAAAAAATCTGCTATTTTTTTTTTGTATTTGTCAAATTTGATCGTGAAGTACATTTTATCAAACTTTAAAGGATATATTAGAAAAAGTCAAACAAAAAGATGGATCATGCCTTTTTACAGGATTATATTTAGCATTGCGATTGCTTACCGAAACTAAGTATTGACTTATATCATGACCTGTTATTTAAGCATATTGTTCTCATCCAAATAAATTTACTCGATGAGAATTAAACAGACAATTGAAAAATAAATTTCTCCTGGCTCGACTTCCATAGCCTGGTTTTTAGTTCATATAAGGTGATAGTACTTGTCACTACTCTCAAACCTTCGTAAGAACGCGATTTAGAAGAAATTTATATTTCAGTTTTCCTGAGGAGGAGCAACGATGAAATTTTTTTTGTAAAGAAAATATCCAGAGACGACACAGAGAACGAAGATGATCATATTTGGAAAATTTTGGTTTGCTTCCAGTAAAGAGTTATTAAATTTATGTTATTTTTAAGCGACATTTTGTGAGCTCGCTGGGAAAATAGATAAAGCCTTAGAAAAATAAAATTTTTTTAAATACGATCTTCCAGTGCTCCATTCAAAGTTACCTACAACTCCAAGTTTTTAGTCTCAGAAAACCTTTTATCGTTAGAAAAAAATTTTTACTGGAAAGTTCCAACAACATTTCTCCATATAAAGTATAATCAGTTGAACAACACTCCCATTATCGAACGCACTCCCAAACTTTCACTCAATGTCAGTCATAATGTGTAGAGTAAGTATTCTCCTTCTGTGTATTATTCGTTTCACCATTGATACGAGCTGTTAGGTATGATCTTCTTTTTCATTCTGTTACTCTATATAATCATTCTAACAGAATTCTAGCGTGTAAGTCTTCTTTTTCTTTTTCTGTATGCCACATACAAACATGTGCGCCGACAAAAAATTTTCGGCGGCGGCGAATGAAGTTTTTTACATAGGCGGTGGTGGCGCGAGGCTACGAAAATTTCCTTCACCGTCGGCGGCGACGGTTCGAGACTTTGAAAATTTTCTCCACCTTCGGGGGCGGCGTGTAAAAATTGGTTATCGGCGGCAAATCTCCAATTTTAAGTAAAACAACGTTCTCTTTCATTTCTGGCACGAAAAGATAAAAAAGCGCTGCACGCTAAAAATGCCTAACGTAAGCTAAGAACGTACTGACAAAAATAGTAAGAGAACCCTGCGTCATACGCTTTAGGTAAAACCAAAGTAAATGGCACACCCTGTGCTGCAAATAAACAAAGAAACAATGTATTCTTTTCACATTTTAATATGAAATACATAGAATATTCTATTTACTGCTGCTAAGCTTAATCGCTAGAGAATTGAATTCTCTACAAAACCTGCTATTTGAATCTGTGATAGCATTTTTTTCGTTTGAGCACCATTCAAAATATTGAAGGGTGCTGAGTTGCCGAACTGCGACACACTGAAAATAGAAAAATATTTGCCTTGTTTTAAAAACAAATTCCATAAGAACTTTGAAATGATCAGAAGATTTACCGGAAATTCTACATCTTCTCATATATTTTTTGAAATTTTACAGTTAAGTCTTCTCGGAAAATTTCTCTGCGCAAAAAACTGATAAGTCTAAAAAAACCTAATTTTTCACAGACTTTATTTTATTTAAAAAAATTGCCTTAATTTGAAAACGTTGAAAAGCTGGTTCATAACTAATTATAGGTCCAACAGACATAGCGGAAACATTGTATTAAAACCAATCAATTTCTCAGTAACGGAGGAAAACTATATAAAACTGCGAGGTTCGTATCAGTTTAGCCTCTTTGACCGCTACAAACTATTAAAACGTTTTTTTCTATGCTTTTGGAAAAAAAATAGGGATCGAGCTAGTTTGATTAATTGAATAGCCTGCTTAGCAATGGTGAATCCTTCTTATGATCAAAGAACTATTGTAAGAAGGGTGTCGAGATCTCGTTGAGTCTCTAGACAATTTTACAAAATAATCAGTATCAGTTTATTCTGACATCATCTTATAAAATTGTTTCACTGAGCTAAACACCACTTTTGTTCTTTCATTTATATGTCAAACATTTTCTATCAAGATATCTATCAAGATTTTCATCAAAGCGCGGTGTTCATTAGAAATGATTACTTTTTTTGGATTAAAGAACTAGTATATATGTGTGTATATATTTTACTACTCAACCGGGTTTTTCTCTACTTGGTTTCTGTTTCGCTTGCATTAGTAGAATGAACAGTTCGAATCAGTAAAAGTTGGTAATTATTTTGTGGATGAAACATATCTTTTCTAATTAAGGCTTTTTATTTGTTTTTGGGTTTTGCTGAAAAACGGAAAAAAAGAAATTGATAATAGGACAAAACAATTCCTTTTACACACCGTCTTATTCTGTCGAATAGACTCCACCTCTGTTTTGTGATCATGTTGTCCACGGGCTATGTCTTAATGAACTCGCTATTTTTTCCAATAAAAATTTAGAATTTTTGAGCACACATACTTTGATGTAAAGTAAAATAGCCTCTACACATTAAGAGCACTCCTGGATGTAAACCCTTTTAGAAACCCTTTTGGAGAATCACAAATCCAAAAGGAATTCTTGTAGTTGCAGAGCTCAGAAACTCTTTTATAGGTTTAATGCAACTGTAAAAATCCTTTTTGGGTTTC